TCCCTTTGTATGTTCAATGTAAATCGCTTTGATACTTCGGGGTTCCATCAAATTGTTGGAATCTGTCCCAATTGCATGAACATATTGTCCAAGTTCAGCAACCATGTCACTCCTGTAGTTGATATTGGCATTATCAATGAGTTGCTGAGGACTGAAATGTTACCCTAACCCTAAATTGCCACCGTCGGATGCATATCCAGACGCGCGTGTTTGGTCAAAAACAAATGTTTTGCAACAAACCTTTGAAACTCGGTCTGTTGATCTTTATCCAATATTTTTCCTTTTCCTACCTCCAGCAAATTATTGCCAGCAGGTGTTTCCTGTTTGTCATCCTCTTTAAACTTGACAGAAAACTCGTCGAGCATTCTTTGAACATAATCGTCCATTCGAATCTTCAGCTTTCCTTTCTTTGAATAATCCAATGTCATTCCCAGATAGTTGCGAACTCGTCCCCGTGTGCAGGTCACTTCCTTTAGTCCCCCGTATCTCTCGTTTATCCATGTAAAGAGATCCTCCATGTGGCTCGCTAGCACATCATCAACATGAAACCTGATAGTCAATTGCTTTTTGTTGACTATCATATTTGCAATGCACGGATTGTATACATTAAACATGAATCCGTATTCTTCCAGATTTTGGTACCATAGCAACAAAGCCTGTAACATCCCATAAATAGCATGGAGGATCACAACATAGATCACTCGACGTCCATTTTCAATTACTACAAAATCCCAATACGTCGGATCTAGGTCAATCATGTAGTCAACCAGCAGTCCAGTAATTTTCATTATTACTTAATCTTCTCCTTCTTCCTGCTCGGGCATCAATGTTTGGATAAACGCGTTAGGTATATCCATTGACATGACGTTTCTACCTTTGTGCGCATCAATTACACCCGTGCAGATAATAGCTTCATGCCAAGCTGTGGGACTTGCAGTGTCCTCACAAGACAACCATTACCATGTCCTTTGATTGTCACGCCATCATTCTTTTTGGCCAGTAGCATCATTGCATCTATGGCCTTCTTTCTTTCGGTTGGTCTTAGTTTCTCAATACTGATCGTTGTCCAGCATCTGCGCTTGATCAGTTGGTCAAGTTCTATCATGGCCACATCTTTACCTCGCTCCTTGAATATCTTCAGTCCTTTATTCAGATAGTATTGCTGAATGAACGAGACTCCGTCTTGCCCATTGATACCACCGTTGACACCCTCACATATTCGTTGAATAACACGTGCGACTACCAACGCTTTGTCAGCGTCATATTTGCCTTTGTTTGTGTTCCCGCCTTGTTTGAATGCAAAATTGTGCATACGTTCTCAGATTGAACGCTTGTACTTATGGTTCCTTTGCAACTGTGCTCCATTTCTTCGCGTGTCAATTTGTTTCTTAATTGCTTGATACAGCAAGACTCGGAGTCTTTTCATTTGTGCTTTTCTTCTCATCGCACATCTGTTTCTCAAAACGTTTGGCACAGGCGAATTCCTTCTTTGCAGGTATGCCTGTCCAAATCTTGATTTCTCTCTTCTGTATCTCTCAGTGGGTTTCATTTTTACCCCTTGTGAGAAGTAGGATCGATTGTGTCTTGGGCAAAGTACCCGTTTCGCTCCAACTTCGACACCGTTGTCACTGTAGCTTCTTATAATTCCTTTGGTGTCGGACTCTTTATCATTTGTGTCCGCGAATCTCACTCCTGCGCAAGCGACACCATCTTCCTCTTCTGATTCAAATGCCACATCAAATTTGAACAGAACTTCTTTGTCTGGTTTTCCAAGTTCCACTAACTCAGCTGCCAGTCTGTCTAACATTTGCTTGTTTTCTTCATTGTCTAGTTCAGACTTGTATTCGTCTTCATAGTCCATGTCCTCATTGGCAGTTATCCATTTGTGTTCTTGGTAGTCTTCGTCCATCAGATCTTCAGCATCTTGTTTAGCCTTAATCTTCTTGAACATTCTGTTGAACATTTTGTCATCTAGCTCATCTTCATATTGATTTGCCTCGCTATCGTGTCTTGGGTTTCTGTCCCTGTCAAACCTCGCTTCCATGCTGTCTGCTTCAGCATTTATTAGTAATTCATCAAGTTTGTCATCTGGAATATTTTCATTTTGGAGGGTTACCATATAAATATTATCGTCACTGCGTTACGATGTTGTTGACTTACGAAGTAGTAGCTATGGTAGACGGTAGACAGTATTGTAATCAAACGTATTCTTAAAAAGAGTGTGTTCATCGTTCATCGACA